GGGCAAAATAAAAGAGCGCCCACATAGGTCGCTCGGAGGTCGCCCGGGGTGTCGGGCGCGTTTTTGGCGCTCACTCCGGCGACGTGATAAACGAGCCGCCTCGCCCGGATATCAAAATAATGCACAGCGCATCGCTCGACGCTCTCAAGTCTTCCGCCCTTTCACCCCCCCCCCCCCTTCACCCTTTGAATCTTCCTCTTCATCTTTGTCGAGGCAGTGAATCAAAATGAGTTTTTCGTAACCCAGGCTACCGGAAGGTGGAGAAGTAGCTTATTTATAACAGCTGCGTCTCGAGAAGAAAATAAAACCGCGATAAAGAATATAAGACGCGCGTAAATAGTATTGATGTGAAATATAGTGCTCGGCAGAAAGACATGTGTGGTTTTTACTTGTTTCCCTGTCCGTTCATGTGATTCCACTTTACAAATAGGGTCAGCAGTAGGAGTTCGCAGGCTTTTTTATTATTGTGACGGGGGGGAAAGGGGGGCCGCGAAGTTTTACCACAATATGCAGCACCACAGGACCAATATGGAGGCGGTTTAATCATACGCGTCAAGACTTACACTATGGTTTAATTCAGAACATTGTGCCATGACTGGAGGTGAACGGCACAACTGAAGTGCGGTGTGATGAGCAGGAGAGGAAGAAATTAGCGGCAAGTGAGGTAGAAAAAGCCAGTTCGTAGATTGGCTGGCTGCCCACAGCTTGGGAAAAGGGGGCACAGGAAATACGAAAGCATAAACAAGACGCTACAGAAAAAGAGTCACAGTTCCACCGCAAGGGCGTAACAAAGTATCTGATAACAACAGATTGGAACGTGATACGATGAAGTGTAAGCAAGATAAGGGACATGGTATTTGGGACATGACGGTGACGGCAGAAACAGGCAAGAGCGTCCACACAATTATTATAACAAAAAAGAAATAAAAAAGAGAAAAGGAGCAGATAATATGACACCGCGTAAAATTTGTCTGTCTTCGAGTCTGTAGCTGTCCGTAGGAAAGCGCAGAAAATCTTAAAACGGGCAGTGCTCTAACGCAATGCTGCTTCGACTCCTCATTTATTTTACTAGAGAATTCCACAGACAGAAGTACGAATGCGTTAGTGCAGCAGGAACTGTAGTGACAGCAGCCCGCAGTCCGAAGTTATTTGATATATAAAACTGATAATAGAAAAAAAAAAGCCTACCTTCCACTTGATTTTCGCGGGTTGACAGAAGCCACATTTCATTCATCCTGTGGCGGTGTATGGAGCCCCGATGAAATTATCTAGAAGTTCCCACGTGGAAGGCTCGCACACCGCTGTTGCTTGTCCTTTCCAACGTGTTGTTGACATCGGCGACATACCAAACGTAGTGCCTGACGCCTGACGTTTTAGAGCCAAAGTGAGTGCTAGAGTTTCGAAGCGAGGTGCTGTCTGCTGTTCTTTACAAGATTCCATGTTATTCGATCGCGCCTTCCACAATAAGAAGAGAGGAGAGGAAGAGAAGGAGAAGTAGAAAAACGGAAGGACCGGGAGGTTAGTCTAAGACAGGAATTTCTGGAACAACGAAGGCGGTGAAGTATGCTGTTGCGCTTTCGCGGGTTGTTTGGTGAGCGGCAACGACAAACTACAAGGTTGCTGCGACATCCAGCCAACGAGGAGGATTCCTTGCACCAGTCCAACAAGCATCAGTAGCCTACCGCACGTGCGAAATGAGGCCGTTCGCAAACGCACACGAGCAGGTACAAGGAAAACAGAGAAGCCTTTCGTATGGACGTCCAACCATAGCAAGCCACACTTCAGGGGCGAAATAGTAACCGACACCTCTGTCGACCTGTGCAGTCGTAGTGATCGTCTTTTCCTGCGAAGGCGTCATCTACTTGGAGGTTCAATAAAAAAACACACAGAAAATGAAACCCAAACACATTAGTAATCTTGGTTTTGATACCACGCCACGATTGCCTCTAACGTTAGCCTTATCCAATTATAGCCTGCGTCCTGCGTCATCACTTTCTCCCGCAATAGTTCTGTAGAGCGCCACTACGTGCTGACAGGGTCGGCAGCGGTGTAGCGAGTTTATTGCGTGAATTAAACCATAAGCCATTCGATATCCGTGATTCCACCTATGCTAAAGTTATCTCCAGCCATCTGTCTACGGGAATCATGCAAACGAGCACAAAAACGTGCTTGAAAAGTGTTGGTGGTCCCCTTTCAACGTTTTCTGACCATCAGAACCCGATACCCTTTTTACAGAGAGAGGGTGATTAGACGCTTCGAAGATTAGAAGGCACAATGATAATATACAAAGTGTGCCAACGGCATACCAACCTACCGCACGGTGCAACCACATTTGTGATTAGCATGGGTGTGGTCGAGAAGAATAGAGTCGAACAGCCCCACTAGTGAGCCTAAACTAGCTTTTTTTTTCTAAGTGTAAGAATAATCTACATCCCTTAATGGTAAACAATCTTCGCCTCGTGGTATTCACCACATTACAAAGTTCTTGCTATTCTGAGCGCAATATAAATCGTGCGGCATCTCAGAAGTACAAAGGCACCAATAAACACAAACAGGTTCTTCGTCGAAGCTGGTGCTTATCGGAACATACGCGGTCATGATTAGCACACGAAGCTTGGAGAGGCAGCCGGCAGAATCAGAATCAGCACCTGTGCACGCCGATAAGCGCTAATGAGCGATTCGTGTATTCCGCATTGATGGCAAAAGCGAGAAGCTTTTTACTTTTTTTCCGGCATCTCTAATGACTGCGACAGATGGCGTAATTATGTATCGCTATGTCAAAAAGAGCAGTGCTCTAATTTATTTCGACGAAGGAACACAGCTGCTGCTAGTATCAACAGCCCCACTGATTAACTACTGCAGAGCGCTGCGTTGCAATGATAGTCCTATTCAGGGTGATGACGTTTGTTCCTTCTTTTCAATTTCGTACTTATTTATTTGATGTTTATTCATTTGTTTGTTTATTTAATTACCCATATATACATCTTCATCTTCGCTTAAGATATTGCAAGAGAGGGAGTCATACGTCATACATCAAATGGAGGTCACAAGTACCGATAGACCGATTCGCGAACATCTCCTGCTAGAGAATTTCTATATTTGATTGCTGAAGGGAAGAAGCTGCATATGAACACATCAGTTTCAGTTTGAAATCATAAAATATGATGTTTGGGACAGCTGCGAGTAGCGGAAGGATCAGTGAGCTCAACGCATTTGTGTTTTATAAGCAACTGATTAGTGAAAAATTAATTAGAACATAGCCTGGTTCATTGAGCGATACAGCGCGCATTCGCGCTCAATGTGAGCAAGGTAGCCGAATCATCGCTCAAATTTCCCCTCTTTATTGTGCACAGTAGAGAATGTGGAGTATTCTAAAAGTATTCAGCCACCACTGTATACCCTATGGTTATACTGTGCTTGACTGGTGGGCGTGGTGAGACGCTCTAGAACCCAAGGTATTCGAAACTACCTGGAGACTCCCTTGTATCATCGTCATCATCAGCCTGACTACGTCCACTGTAGGACAAAGGCCTCTCCCATGTTCCGCGAGTTAACCCGGTCCTGTGCTTGCTGCTGCCAATTTATACCCGCAAACTTCTTAATCTCATCTGCCCACCTAAACCCGGTTCTCCCCCTAACCCGCTTCCCTTCTCTGGGAATCCAATCTCCCCTGTATACGTACTCGCATAGCCTGTGCCCTTTAGTACGTCCTCCACCAGCGAGAAATATATATATATATATATATATATATATATATATATATATATATATATATATATATATATATATATATATATATATATATATATATATATATATATATATATATATATATATATATATATATATATATATATATTGGTTTCATTAGCCACTTCTAAGGGTGGGGGGGGGGAGATGAACAACAAGAGAGAAGGCAGGGAGGTTAACCAGGCACATGCCCAGTTTGCTACCCTACGCTGGGGAATGGGAAGGGGGGCTTAAAGATGAGAGATAGAGAGGGGAAAGAGAAGAGAAGGAGAAAAAAAAAGAGGATTGTCAGTCAATGGGCTGACGCGTATGCAGTGGTGGCACTACACAAAAGTTTAGAAATGGTCACGTAGGCCTGTAGTCCTCAAAAAGCACAAGACAGCTTTGACTGCTTTTTTAGCCGACGATAGGCGAGGACGGTGTTCTAGAAGCATCTGCATAGAGAGTGGCCGATTGTCCAATTGTCGCAATGCGTCCGAAAGCTTCTGTCTTTCAGGGGCAAACCTACTTCTAAAGTCGAAGAAAAATTAAGTAGTAAATTATTAGCATCGTTATTCGGGTCGTTGCACGGAAGTTCAAGCCAACAGGCAGTAACGTAGACCTGTCGACTCTCAGTACTTCCGCAACGCCTTCTTCGCCATCGAGGCACATGGTCAGACAGGTGAGTGGTTTAAAAATGTCGACTGCAGAAAGTAGCAAAGCCTATAGTCGGTTCGGTGACAGGCGACAGGCAGCGCGGATATAACTTCGGCGCAATTACGAGTGCCGCTGGACAGGACGTGATCGATTGACTCTTCGGTCCAAAAGCTGTCGCGTGTAAAGGTGCCCGCCACTCCGATCCGACAATATAGCACGGCTTTGTGAGCAAAACACCCGCTTGAAAGTGGCATACAAACCTTGCATCAATGCTGTAAACATGTGATAAAAGCTATTCGGGTTCTAAAGCACTTGACAAGCTGGTATACATCAATAGCTCATACATCTACACGTTCCATGCTGAACATCACCTATGAATGCCGGCTGTGCCTAAGTGATTTACTTCACTGTCGATACTTATCTCACTGACACACTGAACGATGCATGCGAACGCATGATCCATCGCAAGGTTGTGCGAGTCGCGTCGAGCTCGCCATCTGTCCTGAAAAATGGTAAACAGCAAGGAATATCTCACTATACGCAGCTCACGTCCCCGTTCTTTTTTTTTTTTTCAAATACCAGCTCAGTGGCAACGACAGAACCGCGCGACTTACCAAGCTCGGTGGTGACGTCATCGGGTAGCAGCGTGGTTGTGGCTGGTGGTGGTTCCGCGGTCGGCACGTCTTGGCATTCCGGACCGAGTCTGACGTCATCGATGGCCACGCCCCCCTCACCTAGTTGTCTGGTGCGCGCCGCAAAAACAAGCTGGGTAGACAAAATGACATACATTAAAAGAGATACAGTGAGAAAGGTTAGGTGACAGGCAGAGAGGAAAACCTGAACAAGGTTTTCAGTTTCCTACTCTGCACTGGAAAAGAAGTAGGGGGGGAAGGGTACAAAGGTAAAAAATAAAAAAAGGTAAGATGTAAAAAGTATTGAAAAATAAAAAAATACGAGCTTTTGCGTAAGCAAAAGGCGGTGTCACCACCAGCTCCTTTCTTATGCATTTTTTTTTTCTCGCTGCGACTTCTGAAGCAGGACGAGCGCCTTTCCTGGTAATCCCGGAAACTCCTACACTGACGAAGCAGAACTTATTTCGATTTGCGTTGTCATATCAGCACGTATACTGCAGACCACCAGTAGCTCACGCCTCGCATCGCGTGCCTTCGCGTAAGCCTTCTCCTTAATGGTCAACCGTGTCGTAGCCTATGGCTGAGCCATCACGTGGCGAGTTTCATTTACGCGGGAACGGTCGATGAAGTAGACCCGAGGCACGCAACGCGACAGCGCAACAGGCGATCTCGCCGATGTTACGACGGTACGGCACGGCAGCGCTAACAACGGGAAGCTATACTTTCCACGTTTTCGCGGTAAAGGTGCTTATTACAACGCCTCTGAAGCTGCAATCTGCTAGTGCGTGTAACTGGACGTGCGACACGCCCCCCCCCCCCCCCCAGAACACCTCAGGCGAACAGTGGTCGTTAATGTATAATGCATCAATGTTTTCCCCGATACTTTTACACTCTGCTGCAAATATTGTTGCATTTCGCTCATTGTCATTCATAGGTTTCTATGAACCCATAATGCGAGTGCCTTAAGCCCGTGTGAAGTCTTTGCGAATGGTCAAAGTCTAGCAGTAATACCTAGTATTGCCATATGTCACTTCATACACTTCATACACAAAAGCGCTCCGTAGCCACGAGTATAACGCTCAGGCAAATGCAGCATTTACACGCTGGCTAAGATTCCAAAGCCTGCAGCTTTTGTAGACGAGGGTGTCGTAGTTTTCCCGGGTAAATCCTATGGGTAAGCTCGAGTACCCTCTAACTACAATATGGAATGGTGCATGCCCAAGTTTTCCCTCTAAGTTAAGAGAAAAGATTTGCCTGTAATTGCTCGTATTGGTGTTGGTACAATTACTGTCACTCTATGGAGGGGGAAGAGGGAGGTGTTGTGTCCAAACTCTTGACACGCTGAGCGAGATTTCTGTTGATTTCCCGGTGAAATTCGGTTTGATTAACTACGGCACCTGCCATATTATTATACAGTCTATCACTTTTGCTACTGAAGGGCCACTTTTACCAGAGAGGCCACGAATATTTTGTCACGCATATTGCTGGTCTTGCAGAGAAACAACTTGCATTTTTCTGATTTATGTGCCGTAGATACTATTGATAATGGTGTATTGTGTGCCCTCTAAGGAGGACACTGTACGCTCTTTAAAAAAATGCAGTAAAGAAAAGAAAGGACGATAAATTAACTAATACCTTCCTTATTGATTGCAGTCTGTGTATACTGGTCGAGTGATTCCGGAGGTTCCCCTGTCAGTTTGTACCTGTTGCAGTAAGCTAACCCTCCAACTCAACTGAAGAATTGATTAACTTGGCTTGAGATAGTTCAACAAGCAATAAGTAGTTAAGTAGGTCGTGTCAAGCTAATCGGACATCCAGTTTATAACCTGCTCACAAGCAGGTGGGCAGCATATCAAACTTTTCCCAATCGTTCCAAATGTTTAAGGCTATAAAACCTCCAGAACAATGCGAGCCTCAGTACTCAACACCAATACCCTTTCCAGCGCTGGTCACTACAAGCAGCCCAACTATACCCCGCTTACCTGGAAGTACTCAGTGGTTTCTGGCAATTCGACGTTGGCCCAGCCGCCTTTGCGTGGTCCGTACGAGCTCCACAGAGGCGTCTGGTTTGTCGAATTCCACAGCAGCAGTTGTAGCGTGCCTGCAGACGGCAGCGAAAGAAAACAAAAGGTTTATGAGTGAGTCAAACAACTTTATTGGCAATCCGGCATAAAGGGGTGAGGGGTGAGGGAATAGATGTCAGTTCACTCATGATGTACAGCACTCACGGACTGAAATGTGAAAATTCAGCTAAAAATTCAAGTTTCTACGTCAACTTATTTACGGAGCAAGAACCTGGAGAATTACAAAGAGAGTACAACTTACGTTGGGGATGACGCAACTTACGTTGGGGATGACGTTGGGGATGACGTTGGGGAAAGGAAAATGATAGGTGTAACCATAAGGGATAAGAAGAGACCAGAGTGGGTCAGGAAACAAACGGGTGTTAAGGACACTGTAGTCGAAATCAAGAAGAAATGGTCATGGGCAGGACACGAGCGCGACGGCAAGGTAACCGCTGGTTATTAAGAATCACAGACTAAATTCCAAGAAAAGGCAACCAAGTGAAGGGGAGACAGTGGATTAGGTGGCCAAATGAGATTAGGAAGTTTGCGGGTATAAAGTGGCAGCAGCAAGCAGAAGACCGACTTGACTGGCGGAGCATGCGAGACTACGCCTACAGCCTACGCCTGACTACGCCCACAGCCTTTGTGCTGTGGGCGTAGTCATGATGATGATGATAATGATGATGATGATGATTATGATGACGACGACGATGACGATGAATGCACGTAAACGTCTCTAGCGTCTACAGCATGTGTCATATGGATGTCACATTTTCCGTACACTTTCATCGGAGCGAGAATTAGCTTTAGTAGTGAAATTTTCAGCGACGTGACACGGTTATCGTGAGCGAATGCTCATAGCGTTGAGTATAATAATAAAAATATATGTTGCGTTTCGATCCATTAGTACTGTGATGGTAGGATAGTTTGCTCGGACACCCGCCGTGGTGGTCTGGTGGTAGCGGCGCCCGACCAGTGGCCCGAAGGTGGCGACATCTAATTATGGCGGTGGCCGCCACATTTAAGTAGAGGCGAAATGTTAGAAGCACCCACACCTCTATCCTTCCGCTTATCAAGCTTACATACCACTTTTGTAGCGTAAGCTACACTAACGACAGGACGAAGACGTGGATACAACAAATACATATTGGACACAAGAAGCATTTTGTTGTGCCCGCCACTTCGTGCTGTAGTTTGCGCTGCTTCGAATACTATGAAGCTGTATACAACTAGCTCAGCTGTCGGCCTTGATGCAACACATTTACCCTGCTCTTCAGATCCTATTTCTGCCAACTTCAGCGCAGCCAGCGATTGCGTGATCGACCTGTGTATGGTGTCGAACGCTCGGTGGCTCTCGTTTGTCCCGACGTTAATCGAGAACGATTGCGACGGGCGCGTTCGGAGCTGGCGGGCAACGGTGAGCCACGACGCGAACGGCACGAATCCCTCTCGTGCTCGTCATTGAAGTTTATTTTTCTTCCATCGGAAGTCCCTAGTACTTGGTGGCGTCGCACACCTTTGGCAAATTACAGCTGCAACCCATATTCCGAGTTCCATTAGGAAAGCCCGCAAGTTAAAGCTACAAAAAGTGTATCGACGAAGAGACGTCCCTTTTGGATAGGTTCGTACCGCGTACTATAAGCCGTCTTTTATCAGTATTCTCCTTCACTGAAATGTAGCCGGTGCACGTGTGTAGTTCGTTTGGAGAAGCACGACTCAGATTCTATTCATCGGACGAAACCTTCCTACGATTTCGCGGTCGACGAAAGAGTATGTTTTGGTTTGTGGTCTAAAGAAAGAAAATGGTTTTAAAGGGGTTCATATAGAAGACTGGGCGTGCAAAGGTGAATACGTGCATGGAGTCCAGATAGCGCAGACGTTATGACTCATGGCTCTGCTCTCTGTTACTTTTAAATAAGTACAACGTACATATACAACTTCGTGCTTCTAACCAACAAGACTGCGAACCTACACCATTCATTTTTTTTTCAACCTAGACCAACCAACTCAAATATTTGACACACGTTTTTCGTAGACCGCAAAGGACTGATCCCTAACATATCTGCCGTCTCCTTGTTGCGTCGTGTCAGCACGCCGACTCGTTCAATGGCTATGGAGGAAGGATCCGCATTGAATGAAGAGGCTTTATGTATCGATACGCCTTCTCATGTGCACGCCGCAATGTTGGCCACAGCAAAGCTCAGCCTCACCGGCGATCCTGCAGATCAAAGGACCGACTTTGTCGAGTGGCTTTCATGCTGCTGCCAGTTCGACTTGTCAAAGCATCAGGACGTTTTATTCAAGAACAAAGACAAACAGGAGATGTTTGACGTGTGCGTGCATTAGGATATATATATATATATATATATATATATATATATATATATATATATATATATATATATATATATATATATAGTCGTTCTGAGCGTTCTGATATAGTCGTTCTGATAGTCGTTCTGAGCGATATACATATATATATATATATATATATATATATCGCTCAGAACGACTATCGCGTGCGTCATGGTGACTTAGTAGGCATGCCCCCCTGCCGAATAACATTTTGAAGATTCAAGCTTTGGTTCCAACGAGCTTAATGTAAAAGGCTGGCAGAAGAAAATATATAATAAATTACTCAACAGGCGCAGGTTAAAAGAAGCACCACATTATGAAAACTGCCCTTGATGCTTTGACAATCCCCAACTTCATGCATACCATGATTTCATTTAGCACAGGGAACTCAGCTCAAGCCAGTCGTTTGACGAGCCAGCGTTTCCTCGAGTTTTAATTGCCAAAACTACGATATCATTACGAAGTGCCAAGTACTCTAAATCGTTACCCACTTTTTCTAAAACCCCCCCCCCCTCCCCAATCGTTTACTCGTCTAGTAGAGCACCTAGTGCTCTAAATTGTTAACTACTTTTTCTAAACACATCGTAGCAGAGGCCTCCGGAAGTTTCGAACACTCTGCATTCTTAAACACGCAGCGACAGCGCACAATACACGGGACTTCGAGCCTCCATCCAAATCAGACCGCTGCGAAAGGATAGAGCACATGTAAGTTTCATCGATAGCTTGGTCGATGAAGCTACCAAGCGCAGTTCTGTCGTCTCAGGCACGTTTAACTCAGCTTATTGCGTAGATGATAATAATAATAATAATAATAATAATAATAATAATAATAATAATAATAATAATAATAATAATAATAATAATCTTTATTGTCATCTTGAGTTGTACAAAACAAATAACAGGCTTGTCAAAGCCACACAGTGGCTTGGAGGACTTGGCCCGGCAAATCGGCAGACGAGAGATGACATATATCTTGAAAAGCTTTTCATGTAAACAATCAGAAAAAGGATACATGTAACTCATTTACGCTACATATAAACACAATAACAATCGAGAATCAAATTAGTGGAAGCATTACTACCTAAACATCAGAAATGTGAAGACCAGCATTGAAAAATTTTAAACGGATTATACCCAGTATGCAAGAAACTAGAAAAAAATAATAATGCGATAACTAATGCAGCATTAGAGAGACCTTAGGCTCTTTCGTAGACTGCGTTTAGTCATATTAATAATAATATTATTACGCTAATTCATTTACATAAATGAAGAAATATCGAGGCAACAACAATATCTGTAAAACTTGTCCTAACCACTTAATGCATGCAAATAAATTAATAACCAATGACGCCAGAATGAGCTTCAGAGCATCATCAGATGCAGAAAGTGGTTCAAAAAGAGCAGACCCTGAAACACATTAGACAGCTCATAAAAAAACTATCTATTAAAATATGTTTTCCAGGTATTCTTAGGCGTAAATAGCACTATTGATTGATTTATATGTGGGGTTTACCGTCACAAAATCACCATATGATTATGAGAGACGCCGTAGTGGAGGGCTCCGGAAATTTGGATCACCTGGAGTTTTTTAACGCGCACCCAAATCTGAGTACACGAGCCTACACCATTTCCGCCTCTGTCGAAAATGCAGCCGCCGCAGCCGGGATTCAATGCCGCGATCTGCGGGTCAGCAGCCGAGTACCTTAGTCACTAGACTACTGCGGAGGGGGCGTCAATAGCACTAAACCAATCTATATCAATAAAAGCACATGAGCTCAAGTATCAAAACATTCAGTTTAGCAAATTTATCTTCACAACATTTTCATGCCTCAACATGGTAAGTTCACCTCAGTTAGCCCATTTGCCAGGTTGGTTAAGTCAAATCGCATTAGTAGTAGTAGTAGTAGTAGGATTTTTATTTACAGTAAGCCGGATACAGAGCTCACTGCAGGGGCAAAGGGCTAAAGGCGAACAGCCTGACAAAGGCCCTTGTCCCTCCGCAGTCCGTGGCAGTGCAAAGCTTAAACAATATATATATTCAATACATTGGTTTCAAGCAACCTGAAATTGTAAACACAAAATTCAAATATAAATAGCATAAGAAGTTTACATAACACATTTTAAGAATTAGAGGTCACTCTCGTTATAATTCACACTAAACAATATCAATGAAACAACATCGAAAACAGACACAAAATGCATGCGGATACAATGAATTCCGCTGTATACACTCGTATAATTGACATAGAAGTTGAGGAACAATTTAAGCATTTGCAGAGGCATGAGACTCCATTACGTAGTTTCGATAGTGTAGACCGGTGGTTATGAATAAGTTCTTTATTTGTTTCTTGAAAGTCGCACTACTAGCCCTAAAGTTCAACTGATCTGCAAGGGTATTTAAAACCTGAGGTACCTGGTAAGCAATACTTTGTTTTCTATACTTGGTTCTTGTTCTAGGAGCTCGTTTCTTTTGTTCTCGCATACTGTAGTGTGGTCTTTCGTTGCAACTTTCTTCATATAGCTTAGTCTTTTGTATTAACTGAAGTAATTTAAAATGATATAATTGATCAATTCTGAGTATGGAATGTTTAATGAATAGTGGAGCAGTGCGCAAGTCTTGTAGATTCCCCCTGTAATTTTCAAAGCAGCGCAATATTTTCTTTTGTATAGTTATTAACTT